ATATATATATATATATATATATATATATATATATATATATATCATATACACCAGGCAGTCTTAAAACCCTTTTCACTCTCCTTTCTTTGCGAAATTATCCCGTCTTATGGTACTACTTTCAGCAACATTGTCAAAGAATTCTCAGATTTCTTTCACACAAACATATACATAACGTACAGCCCCAATCAAACCTCATAGGACATGCCGTATCGAGAACTTGCAAACTTGCAAGTCAGCGTGGTACAAGATAGACCCTTCACTGATATCATCTAAGAGATGGTGAAGAGTCGCGATTATCGCACAAAGATACATCCAAGTCTGCGATAGTAGTCCGCACGGATCGATCGGTCGAGTCGCGCGCACGGATAGCCGTTTCCTAATTAAGTAACGCGCTACTGACTGGTCGACCTTGTTGAACAGGGTGACTGTGATATCGTCGCACTTGCGCGCGAGTTAAGTGAGAGTTTGCGGGTGAATGGCGTGTTCACCGCAACCATATCAGCTAGTGATTGTGATTGTAGAGATGCCACCTCTGCGTCTCAGCGTTCGAATCACACTTCTCCGCCGTGATGCCGCGCTGCGCGTGATATCTCGAGTCCACGCACACGGGGATTCTGGAGTGGCGTATCAGGCCACCCTCCAAGTGTCGCCACTTTTGATTCTCGCTGCCGTCGCAGATCTGCATCAGCAACGTCGTACCCTTGGCGTATACCGGCAGGGTCAGACAGAGATCATGGTGTTTGATCAGACCGTCTTTCGTGAGACCCCATTCCTGCAGAACGCCATGAAATTAGTGCTCATGCGAGATGTCGACAATGATGTATGCTATATGCAATTTTTTATCTAAATTATTTTTACAGCATTTACCTGATTACCGCCAGTATCGTGGCAAGGATAAAGACCCACGTTGCCATCGAGAAGGTGGCCCATGCTGTCTAAACAAGCGGTACCTTGCTTCAAAGAGCCTCCCGGACCACCTTCGCTCGTAGGTATGACTAGTTCCGGGTATACGTTCTTCAGATACCAGCTAAAGGGCTTGCAATGCAATCTCCGTTTAAGTTCCATTCTGTCTTGGATGCTGAAACATGTAATTTATACGATTGACACAACTAAATTGTGCAACAGTCAACATATATTATCGTTTTTATACTTTATGTAACGTTAATGTAAACTAAATGTAACGTTAATTTAATAATAACATATATCTAATAGTATCAAAATACACACAAATTTTGGCCCTTGCTTTTAAACTAATTATTATTTAAAAAAAAAACGAACGAGGTTCTCTCATAAATAATATACTTTATTTGACAGTCGCAGCAAAGAACCGATCTGGCTCTAACTGGTCATATTTTCTTCACTTAAAGAAAATTAATTTCTATATATACGCCATAGAGAGTCAAATATTATAACATGTTGCGCATATATTTTAATTCGACACGCTGAATTGCGACACCTGAGTGTCGTGCTGCAAGAGTTTAACTGGAAACGTCGGCGCGTCTTGACTTACTTTCCGTAAGGGATGTTTCGTGCCAGTGGCACGGCGTTATAGTAGAACTGCTTGTAGTCGTCCATCCATACTTCGGCGGCGCGCCTCGTGTTTCGAGCAAACACGTTTCCGCTGCCTCCGGGGAACGAGTAAGGATGACGTTTACGAAATACATGGCCCACACGTGAGCAGGGGATAATCTCCAAACTGCCACCGCATTGCCACACGCGGAACGATATTTCTGAAAGAAGGTTACAAATACGTGTTGTAAGTGTAAACGTTAAACGTGAGAGAATAAGTATCAGAAGAGAGTGCATAACTACCTCCTTAATTTACGTAATTAGTATATCTTATATTTCTAGAAGGGACTTTTGTCTCTTCTAGATATGTGTGATTAGCAAGGCGTAAGAGAATATCAATTTCTATACTCTAGTTTCTTTAATTTTTCTTTATATCTTAAAGGACACATATTTAGGATACTTATAATTCAGTAATTAAAAAATGCTCTCTTCCATTGAGTTATGTTAGGCTGAAATAATGTTAGTGTTTTCCTCCCAAGAAACTCTACAACTTTTCTTCAATGTGAAACGAGGTTGGAGTTATTTCTAACTTCACACTACCGACGTATATAGGTTTTCTTGTTATGTTTTGCCACGAAGCTCTTACAAACTATACATAAGACAAAGTAGTTTCTGTCAAATACTTCGTTTTCCCATGTTTGAAACGTGCAATCTTCCAATAGACATCTTCCTTGATAAATTTGAAGAAATAGTCGAACACAATTTGTTTTAATATATATGCATTTAAATAAATGAATTTTCATTCAATAAAAATGAATTTTACCAACGATTGAAATCAATTTAATGAATATTAATAAATTTATTGATCTTTTATTACGGGAAATAACATAAATAAGAAATTACTTGTGCACGTAATGAGAAAGATAGAAAATTGATTCCCTGTGAACTTTGAATCGAAATGTTCTCAAGCATTTATGTTAGCGCAGCTGTCGGATGTAGTGATGAATGAGTTAATATTTACGCCGGTACACACACACGCGCGCGCGCCCGGTTCAATGCTTTTTAATAAAATTTAATAGGAAGCATTAATTAAAACTTGTTAAGATATTATAACTTTCAATATTGATCCAATAAAAAGTTTACTTTCCTGCAAAGTACTCATCGTGAGCTGCGCGTGCCTCATAAGAAAGTTTTTGTAACGAAGTATATCGACCACATGCAATAGCTTTCACAGTATTTGCAAGTTTCTTGCGGAATAACTATAGACGTTATCTTTATCAGGCGAACAATAATAACGGTGTAAAACGTACTTTTATGGAACAATGAAATATCCTCGTTGCAACTTGCATATATTCAATATTAAATATGCAAACATCAAATATTAATATGCATTGCCATCTTGAATTGACATTTTGAGAAAGAATAACGTTTCAAAATATCCGTTGAAATCAAAATTTGGATTAGACAGGTACACACGAGTGGACAATTTCTAGTTATATTTGTTGGAGGTTTGGATCGTTTCCGAGCACTTTGTATAGAGGTAAAATTGTATTGTCCTACCGAGATTTTCTCCACCCCAGACATCCATCTGTGTATCGTATTTGCCGAGCTTCTCGAAGTACGCTTTGTTGATGACAAACAGTCCGCCAGCAATCATAGGGGTCCTAATGGCTTGCGTTGGATCCTTTTGTCTCGCCTGACGTTCCACTTGACTGAGATACTCCCATTTAAAGACCAAACTCCAATCGAACCCACCTCTGAGATCAGCGGACGCACCTGAAACAAAGTAGAATTGCTTATGAAGACATTTTATTAAATCAAGAAAAAATAATAAAAGTAAAAGCAGTAGAACCAAAACGCGATATTAATGGATTAACGCGAATGATAATGCAAACAATTATTTTAAATTAAATATAATTATATAAAGTAATAATAAATTAGCGCAAACGTACGTAAATTTTATTAAAAGAGAAAAATATGAAAATAAAAATATTTAATATTTAGAAATGAGTTAAAAATTTTTGCAGGAGAAACATATCTATATGTGCAATCGCGTAGAAATTAAATAAAAAAATTTTATGGTGCATTGTTTAAGGCACTTACCGATATATTGAAAAGTATCCATGCTGATTACGTCGATTACAGGACATACCACCCTTGTTGGGTCTTCTGCCACCCTTTCCAAGAGAGGTTCAATCCAGTCGGCGTTACATTCACAGTGCGAGTCCAAAAATGTCAATACACTCGCAGTAGCCGCGTCCGCACCCCGGACACGCGATCTCATGAGACCTTCCCTTTTTTCGTTCCTGATCACGCGAACCTTGTGGATGCGGGATAATTCTTCGCCGTCCTCAGCTACAAACAAATCACTCTTCCTTGTCTCGCGGTATATTTTTATCTTCTGTCGATTAAGCGCATGTCACGTTATACATTTGTGAAAAAAAAAATAATAATTACAATTTTAAGCGTTTTATCGGCAAAAATATTGTCTGTCGTTTCAAATATTATTTATTGTTTATATTTCGTACTTATTCTATAGCTTGTCGAGCGATGTTTTGTTTAAAAAATATAAATTCCAGACTGACATGTGTGTGCCCCTACGAATTTCGAAATCATGATCTGCTGATATGTCGCTTAAACTCGTAAACAATGTCATAAATGACTGTTTTTCATGGGCCATTTGTCCCATGCGCAATATTAAATACGACGTTTAATATAATATTAAACATAATTTTCTGTAATTGAATATACATACAATTTACACTTTAATTGCGGTAAATTGAGTTTAATATTATATGTAATATTCCCTTCGTGACTGGTTGACCCATGAGTAATCCGTCTGTCATTCGCGTTGCTTCTAACATGGGACTAATGATAACTCATATTTTATATTGCTATATTTTGCAAATTGATGTAAAAGCTGCATTTGAAATTTGCGCGCTAAATAAATCAAATGGTGTTTTTCTGTAATATAAGCTTCCGTTATCTATAGAAATTGATTAATCTATTATAAAGTATATAGTATATAGTATTATTATAGTATCTATTATAAAATATATAAATAAATAGAGAGAGAGAGAGAGAGAGATGGAGTATGTAGAACTACACTCACGGTGGTCGCTGAAGTCATCCACCAGAATAATTTCCTTAATGAGATGTTCGGGGCTTCTGTTCAGCACGCTAAAAGGGAACAGCAAAAATTTTATTTGAGAAAGGCTTACTTAAATTTAATGATGTATACATCGAGAGTAATAAATAATATGATAATTAATAAAAATACTAATATAATGCGACAAATAATAAAATAAATATGTGTAAATAAAATAAAAGGAATCTTTCATGTACTTGTTATTCCATGCATCGTTTACTGTGTCGCGATAAGATCTTAAGTGTTAACATTGACGTAAGATCGTTTTTCAATATGACAAGTTTTCCTTTTTAAATTCGATTTAAAACTCCATAGACAACTTCTCTTTAATCACTGTCATTCATTTCTATATAAACTTTTCCAGTCGATTAACGTCAGGTAAACTGAGGCACCAGATTAAAGGAAGAACAGAAGCTTCGGATTGTCCCATTGAATCTTTTATCAAAGTTTCAAGGACTTTGCGCCACTTGCTCCTTGTTTGAACGTTCTCGTGTCGTCTCATTCTGTTCCGCTTGCAAGTTCAGTATAAGAGGATTGTTGCAAATAATTAAGGTTCTCCCTTTTTTACTAATTAAAACTCTATCTTAAGTCGATAAGGGTAGTTTAATTTCGCGGTCATTTTTTGAATTAATCTTTCACGTCAACAGCTTTATTAATCACTTTAACGAGATCATAAAAAATAATTTTTCTCCAACTCCTTCGTCCATCGCTAAGAGTCTGTAGTAACATTTTAACTTTTACTGAAAACTTTGACAAGGCGTGAAATTGATCACAGAAAATTTCGCGGCGCATCTAGGCGACGGCGAGGTGCGGTCTCGTCGTGGTAATTAAGACTTCCTTTTAATTTCATCGACCGACGCGATAGGGCCGATATATTTCCCTGACGCTGCCACGTTACGGTCTTAAATAAATTTTCCGACTCTCGCCTGCTTCCTTCTTCCGGTTCGACGAGAACTTCGAGCAACTTTTGCACGGAGGCTACCTCCGGCGAGTAATGTGGCTCGTACTTTCTCTCACTCCGCGGGGCGCTTCGCCGCGAAAAAATGTTTTAATTAATACGAAGACGCTTATGAGAAAAACCGGTGATTTACGTCGTCGCGTCGTCTGAACACCAGAAAACGACACCAGAGAAAGGACCAAGTTATTTACGTGAGAGAAACACGGAGCGAAATACTTGTATCACCGAATCGAAGAAGCATGCTACGTTACACAGAATATAATTACAAAATAAGCAACTAAATAAACGCTAAGTCGTCGTAAAATTGCCGTAGCGATTCAGCGTTCCTCTTCGCAACTTTTTATTCTTTACCATTTGTAAGAAAAAATGTATTCGAGTTTTCTAGTGACAGAGATGAAAGATGTGTGTGTGTGTGTGTGTGTGTGTGTGTGTGTGTGTGTGTGTGTGTGTGTGTGTGTGTGTGTGTGTGTGTGTGTGTGTGTGTGTGTGTGTGTGTGTGTGTGTGTGTGTGTGTGTGTGTGTGTGTGTGTGTGTGTGTGTGTGTGTGTGAGTGTGTGTGTAATTAAAAATATCACGTGTAATTTCATGTCATCAGGAACTCTATTTTCCAAATGAAATTAATTTACTATTCATTATCCATAACTGCTCATTCTTTCTGTAAGAATATAAGCTTTGATATTTGCTCTCTAATATCCGCCGAAGGTCTCTCGAATTCTTCGGTTCGTTGTGCACACGTGTGCGTGTATACGAGCGCATAATAAGTGCGAGGGATAAAACGATGGAACGACGATTAGAAAATTCCATCGCACGTCGTCGCCCACTGCCGGCTCACATTGAGAATCTTCCCGCGTTTCTCGCATCCCGCTGATGCGTTGAGAATGGAAGATCACCGCAGCACGTACACCGTCTACAATGGCGTGAGAATTTGCCAATTGCCAATTACTTTGCGTTTAGAAAATCAATTGTAACGATGTTAACGTACTAATTATTGATATGTCAGTATTTTATTATTTTCCAATTTTGTATATTTTTATAATGCGAAAAAGAGGAGAAATGGAACTCTACTTGTTCGTATATGATTGTAATGCACAAATTATCAAGGAGAGACTAAGGAAATACCTGTCTATTTAGATTGGAAGTACAACCACCTTGCATTTTATGCAAAGCGCAATTGTTCCAAACTTACCTGACGACGGTTCTGAGTAATGTAGACCGTGCCTCATTGTGGAAGGTAATTATAACAGAAGTTGGCGGAAGATCCCGTCTCCATTGTTTCATCCTACACCTGTAACAAGAAAATAGCGTAATTAAATGGTTGTTCCGATATGCAAAGGAAATTAATACTCCGGATAAAAGTGAAAACACATGTAGAAAATATTCTGCTTCCGTCGTATTTTTTCCGTACAGTGAGGATGCGATTTCCTAATCTTTCGATATTGATTGCCGAGTGGCAATTGTCTGTGAGCGAGAATAGGAATGAAAAATAGATATGTCGAATAAAATCTATAGAAGCTTACAACTATCGTGAGATTGACAATGCGCGCTTTCCAATATATATCCAATATTTCGTACAAGCTAAAGAAAAAAAAAAAAAAAAAAATGATCAAATCAGCGTATTTCGATATCGTGGTGTATAAATCCTTTTTTCGACGCGATATTGGATCCTAGAGTTTATCATTCAAATTGTCTCATTTCATATGAGTTTCTTCTCGGTATTGTTCGCATGCTAATGTGCTTATCAATTTATTCAACGAACTTGTTATTCGATTCCATGCTTGGTGACGGATAGCACACTGCATTGGAATGCTTCAATATTGGCTGCTCGATCGATACGGCGAATTATCGGTAAATATTGATTTTCGCGGTCCACACACGGTTCCACTTATACGTGTCCTAGATTAGCTAGATATCCAGTTCAAGGATCTGCTCAGTCGCAGTCAGATTTGCTAATAAATCTTTCTTATAGCAATAATAATCATTACAATGGATCATTTACAATTATATCAATTATTTACAATAGTATATAAGTTTTTTTACAATTGACTTCCATTGTACGAGAGAGAAAACGTTTCAAGTATTACTTTGTGGAATTACTGGGTAAATGACGCGTGCGCAACGCGTGCCTACGTTATTCTAGTTTAATAAATAAAATATTAAAATACAGTTTCAAAGAATTTGGGAACTCGACGTTCGTATAACTTATCAACGTTTTAGTATGTTTCCGCGATTTTGCAAGATAGAGATGCAAGTCGTTTGAGGCACATATTACGCGATCAATAAATAATATAAGAAAATTGTCCATAATTTCAGCCAGGATTCACCACGGATTTCACGTAATCTAGAGATTTTTATGACGCCTGTCGAGAAATATATGACCAGAATTCAATATTTGATCGTTTTTATTCGCATATCGCGATATAAATTAAGAACGAAAGACATCGAAACTGTCGCGTAAATTGGATTCGAGCATTTGTAACGATGTCAGTTTGCGTTATATCCATAAATTCGTCGTACCGCTTCCGCAAAGATATCTCGCTCGAAAATCGTCTATCTCCTCGTAGATGGACGCGAAACGCCAGTAGTCGAGATAGATGTCGATATAAATTAAAGTTCCCTCGTGTTTCGCAATTCACTCTTCCCTGGGGCGCATTTGTAGATGCGCTCTTTAAAATGCACATTGCTTTGAGCCGCTCAAAAGTTTGATAGGAAAAGAATAAGAAAAGTTTAGGAGTTGGCGGTCCTCTTTAATTTATGTAAAGCAACATATAGATCAGAGTAAAATAGACTTCTAATGTTATTTCAAGTTCGATGTAATTACCGAGAAACCTTAAATTTTCAATTCAATATTACGACAACGTACCATACACGCGTTTTACGATATTGAATCATCAGTTAATTGATTAATAACGCGCGATATCACAAAAAAGTCAGACGATTTTATCTAGTCGTAGTTGTGCACTTGCTTCGGATCCATGTGACGTTTTTTCCCGTTAGCATTCCTCGTCAGCAGATGGAAACAGGATCGTAAGAGCCATAATCGTGATATCGTGTCTATAATGTATCCAAGTCTGCGACGAGGCGCGAGCGGAATGATGGAAGCGGTCTAAGCGGCAGAAACGGCGCTTAAGCAGAGAGAATAAGAAGATAGAGAAAGAAATAAGAGGACGACCAATCTCGGGGCACCGAGCCGGCGTGGAGGATACATAAATGCGGCCAGACGACCAGAACGATCCCAATATGTCAGCCCCTCTTTGCCGAGATAAACTCGCGGGACGTGCGGCGAATGCAGTTACTTGGGCGCATAGGTGTGCGAATGCACTTTTTCGCGCCGTCGCGCGTCAAACGAGATCGCGAGAAAGTTTCGTACCGGAAACTATCGCCACGTGCGCGAGTCATCGTCGGCCAGGAAGATGACCGGTGAATGTGTGACTGTGATTTATTCGCTTGATGGTGGATTCGCCTCTGTCGTAATAAAATGCCCGCTCCGATAGTCCGTGTATCGTGTACGTGCTCTTAACGTGTCTCTCACATACGCGGAATTTTGCTACACGTGACGCGCGTGTAAGAGAACTTTCACAGCTCATCTCCTACGGCTGCAAGTACCTTGTCAATCCTGTTCCTCGTCAATGCCGCGTTAATCATCCTCTGCGAGTTAATCGACTGAATTACATAAGCTGATTTAATTAGTGACCGACATCAAGACGTTTATGACAGAAATATCAATTAAATTTTTCTTAATTTAATTACTAATTTGAACCAGTGTGTTTCAATTCAACTGATTAACGATCAATTCGAGCAAAATCAATCGAAGATTGATTAACCTTTTGCGACATAGTGACATATTCCATATGTCATCTTTCTTTACACAGTTTTCTACGATTTTTACATATTTTTCAATAAGCCAAAATGACTTTCATGGTTGTTATATAGTAATTGATGTACTAGAAATTTAAATCTGTGGTTAGAGTCATTTCAAATTATGTAAAGGAAGGTAAGTATGTTACTATGCCGCGAAGAGTTAATTGACGATTGGTTTCAACGAATTCAATTGAGCACTGTTTGATTGATTGATATAAGCGAAGGGAATCAAAGAACATTCAATTAACAATAGAATTTAGCGAATTTAATTAAAGGTCGTTTAATTCTAGATTGAACTTAGCAAATTTAATTAAAGGCTACTTAATTGACGATTGATATGAGCAAATTCAATCAACCCGGAGCATCGTGACATTATGGAAGATACTGATGTTTGAAAAATAGAATCCACGTTGAAAGGGTAGTAATCATATCAATCATCACCGAGTTTAATCTTCGATTAAAGTTGCTCGTATCAATCGTCAATTAAACGGTCTTTAATTAAATTTGCCAAGTTCGATTATTAATTAAGTGATCTTTAATTTCCCTCGTTCATATTGATCGTCGATGGAACAATTTTCAATCGAATCTGTTGGAATCAATCGTCAGTCGAACAGTCTCCGATTTTATAAGCTCACATTAATCGTCAATTTAGCACGATAATTAATTACAAAAGTAATCGATTATTCGCAATTTTGGTTTGTTGTCTTCGGGAGCGCAAATCGTTACGTTTACAAATCCGAGTTCGATTTATCGCAGCGTTATCCCTCGCGTAATCGAGTATGGCTCGAGGTGGCAGAGTACCGCAGTAATGAGTAATTTACACACTCATCATCATGCTTATTCACCTTCGCGGAGCGCCTTCACTTGAGCGCCTCGCATGCCGCAGAGTCGGCGTGGGAATCGACAAATTAATTCAGGGGACCATAATTCCGCATTAAACTGGGATAGTCTCTACGGCGACATGTTTGTCGACAACGAAATTGCACGCGAGCCTTAAAGCGAGTCCGGCAGATGAGACGGATCATCCGGCCGGTTTAATTCGAAACTTCAATTTAGGACCGCTCCGCGTGCTATCCGCTAAAGTGGATAACGCGGCCGGCCCGTGCGATTCCATTGGACGCTCGATCGCATATACGATGTTTCGTGAGCACACACATGTACGTACATGCTCGCGCGCGGATTGACCATTGCCGGAAAATGTATCCTACGAGAGAGCGGAGCGCAGCTGCGAAAGCAGTACAAGCCGATGCAATTAAAACAAACTAATGCCATCGTTGTTCCCGTTCAAAATGTTGATCGATCTAAAATGCCCGGCCGAGATCAGCCGAAATCGACATTACATCATGGGATTCGAGTAATAAATGCGATGCTCAACCATTTGGCCCGTATAATCCTTCTTAATGGTACTTCGAGATTATTTTCACTGAAAACTCACAACTTCGGAAACGTCAGATCAAAATAAAAAATTTCTCGTTTCTCACACGTTTCCGCTGAATCTGTTGTGATGTGCGCAAGTAAAACTTTCCCGAAGAAGATTGGGAAAAATAAAGTTATTACGTTTTCGGAGAGAGTCCCCTCTCTTACAAATAATGTTGATGTCACAATGGTCGTGTGTGTGTGCGCGCGCGCAAAGAAATCGATATTAACAGTATCTCTCCCATACATTTAGCAACATCAGTGACCAGTGGCGTAACTTTGCATTAACAGCTCTGTGCCGTCTGGTAATGCCAGATTTCCGAAGCACATGTTGTACAAACGCACACTGACTATTGTCCGGCGCTACATTGACTCATCTCTATGGCGGGGGATCCATTAGAGTGCTTATACGAAGGGCCGTTGTTGGAACAACGGCGATCGCAAGGAGTAGACGGAAAAAGGATACGAAACGGCATTAGGACGTGGCGTTCAGCGGCTCGCGGAAATATAGCTTTTTCCCTGGTAAACTCTCGTGCGTTGCTTGTCGAGAGACGAACTCGCGAAACAGGATATTAAATTTTTAATCCATCACCGGTGCACGATGGTGAAGTCGAGCGGGCGTTCCGGAACAAGAAAATCGCCGCCATCCGCGAAAGAGATGGGGGAGGAGAGCGAGGGTAAGAGATGGTGGAGGAAATGCCATAAATCGTTGTTGCCCAGATCGAATTGGATTTTCGCTCGCGATCCGATCGGCGTGATTATTTAGGATATAAGCCATTTCCGGTGTAGCTTTACTTGGCAGTGAATCAATTTCTAAGTGAGCCTGCCGAGATGTGCAAAATGGGATGAGAATCGAGAGAGATACGATGCGGAAAATACCATTCTCTTGATAAATTGTTCCGTTTTGCGTTTACACGTTACTTCAGCATGTAAAATGTTACCAGGCCGCACTGTCGAGCAAAAATCTCGCAGGTCGGTGAAACAGGCATGACGCGACGCGAATAATCGGCC